CATTGGATTCTATACATGTCAAGGGGAAGACCTATATTTGAATCATTGTCATGTTAGATTCAACTGTCCCATTTGTAAAATGGAGATAATTTGGCTATTCTCTGTTGGCTGCCATGGAGTCTGACCTTCAGTTGGCTCCCATGCACAGCAGCACAATGAGTATTATCCAAGGCTCCTCACCTTTAACTCAATGTTTCCCAAAGTGGGCTATACCACCCTCTGGGGGCTGCTCCAATGATGGGGGTGGGGTGCTGCAAAAGCAGATACCTACACTTTATCCTGGTTTATGGGATAGGGAACAAGCGTTTTTTATTGCTAGGGGAGCACTGACAAACTTTTTTTCCTGAAAAGGGGACAGTAGGTCAAGTCAGTCTGGGTACCTCTGTTGGAACTCACACTCCACAGAAGGACTTGGAGTCAGCTTCCTTCATGACTCTCCCAATTTCTCTACGGCTGGGAATTTTGTACACCTGTGACCAATCCCATACGTGAAAAACTATTTTGATGGTAAGGAAAGAAGAGAGTGATGGCCACATCTTCCTTTACATTTAACTTTTATGGAAGTGATCCCGGACTTCTCCATAGCATGACAGCAAAAACAGGAGTCGCATGATTAAAAGGAAGAATGGATAGTTTCCCATCTAGATAGAGCCCACATGCCAACAGCCCACCATAACAAAGGAACGGGATATTGGGAGTGGCCATCTTGTCAAAGGCACTCACAAAACTAACAAAAGTCAAGCGTTGACTGAATGGGCTCCTTTGAGTTCACAGATACTGTCCCTCAAGCAGTTGTTCTTTCTTATGGGACAAAGCTATAGCATCCTACTTCCATATAGATTTAAAGCTTTGAACCCCTGTGGAGCAGTTCCATTCCGTCCTCGAAATTCACTATGATTTGGAATCAATTTTAGGGCAGTGGATGGTGGTGTTTTCTATTTAGGGAGATTCAAAACAGACCAAGAAGGTCAAGTTAGTGTTTTTACATGTTGGCGTCCCTCTGTACAGTATAAGGAAACTCCACCTGGTCCTGTGCCATCATCACAATTGTTACATTTAAGCCCATTGCTGCAGCCACAATGTTAATCCATCTCGTTGAGGGCCTTCTTCTTTTTTTGATGCCCCCTATGTTACCAAGCATGATGTTCTTCTCCAAGGATTGGTCTCTCTGGAAAGCACGTCCAAAGTACTTGAGAAAAAGTCTAGCCATCCTTGCTCCCAAGGAATATTCTGGCTGTACTTCTTCCAAGACTGATTTGTTTGTCCTTTGGGCAGTCAAGGTGACTTTCAATATTCATCACTACCTTCATAATTTGAATGTTCTTCAAATTTTTGTAAAGCCACTGGGCTGTCCTTGATTGATAAGACATTGTAATCAACTACACAAAGTAATCCAACTCAATAGAGAATATCTAAGTCCTTTGGCTTTAGTTTCAATTTTTTACCACAGACTTCTTTCAAAAGGTCAACATTTGCCTAGGGATAAAGCCCAGAAAGCAGGAAGGAATCGAACAAATGGACAAATGCAAACAGGAAGCACAAGGAGGAAGTGAGTCACATGGTGGAACTGTGTTCAATGTCATGGAACAAAATGTGTATAAATTGTTGACTGGAAAACCGATTTGCACTGTAATTTTTTTTGTTAAATTGCAGTAATTATACAAAATTAAAATAAATGCACGTTTCCAATGCTCTCAACAAAAACTTCAGACAGGAATATCTCTCAAGCTTCATGTATAACATGTAAGACTCTTGCAACATAATATCATATAGTCTGGGTATATTAAGAATATACTAAGATTCTAAAGTTTCTACACATAGGAATAAAAACAATAGGAATTCTCCAGTCAAACCACTGACTTTGATGATGTTATATTTAAAGGAAATAAAGTTGAGACCATTTTACCATTTACAAATTAAAATTAATAAAAATAGGACATTTGAAAATTGTTTCTTTCCAAGTCTAGGGGAGTTACAATATCTTGAATTTTCTAACCCCTGGCTCTTGAAATGGAAATAAATGGATCTTTAGTCACATGATAGGCATCATGACTATCGTCACAGCCCTGCCAAACACAGTTTGTCTTCTGTCTGAGATTTAGATGACCAGGGTGAGTCCTGCTCTAGGACTGAAACCCAACTCAGACCCAGAGAGGCTGAGAGAAACAAAAACTTTGGAATCTTCTCTCTTCCAGAAATTATTAAGGCTTATAGTCAAACATACTTCTATGATGTTGGATTTAATGACTAAGGAATACAGTCGTCCACATAGGAATTTTAACAAGCATGTGGACATGGGTTCATTCATTTGCTAAGTCTCCCTAAGGGACTCTGTCGCTATATGTTCCCCCAACCACTATGATTTAACCTCACATCTTTGGATTCCTCGATCAGGGCTTTCCTCAAAGGTGCCACTTGGACAGACTCAAACCCAGACCCCCTAATTGCTCCATCCAACTCTTGCCCTTTGGGCAATCAAGGTTCCAGCTTTGGGGGAAGGGATGTCATCCCATGCATACACATCCCATAAAAAGCACTTAAATTCAACAGATTATGTTGGTTAAGGAAAGACACAGTTATCCAAAAGGCCAGTCATAATACTGGGGCCAGGTCAAGAGAAGCAACCCACTATTGTCAAGAACAAAGTGGAGCCTTGGCCTGCCCCCAGTCTGCACCAGTAGAAATTCTCCGAAACTATCCAGACTCAAATTGAAGGTCTGCATCTGGTCAACCAGGGGACGCTGGCCAAGCGGAGGATGACTACAAAGTATCCCGGAAATGACAGGATTCTCTTTCACTGGACACTAAGCTCTCTCTCCTGCAGGGAGTGGCAGAGTGGGTGGAGGACAGTAACTGGATACTAAGCACTCTCTCCTGCAGGGCGGAGGACAGTAACTGCCCTTGGGTGGGTGTCCCACGTGGTGCATGGCTGATGTAAAGATCTTTCCCTCCATGCCCCAGGCCCTGTTGGTCTGTGTATGCTCTGAATGTTCTCAGTCACTTAGAGGATTACACATGGAAAATTCTAGAAGCTGCTTAACCAGCACATTTGAGGAAAGTATGGGAGGCTGATAGTAATGGTTGAGTGGGTAATACCTTGGAAGCTAAAATAGAAATAATGATGACAACTCTGATCTGTCCTGTGTGAAATCCACCATCTATCCTGGGACAGAACTCATTCAGCTGAAGTCTGATAGAGAGTGGACTTTCAATCAAGCAACCAAAAAGAGAGTGGCTCTTTCATAAAACAGAACTCAGTGTCCTCCCCTTGAATGCAGTAGGATTTCAGTCCTATGACTGAATTCACTGGATACCACCTTGCTACTAAATGCTGCCAGCTGCAAATGCTGCCTCGAACTCCAAACTGCCAGAGACCAGTTGGTTAGTGGCAAGCTATTGAAATATCCCACGGTATGGTATCTAAGGCAATCAGCACACTTTACTCACTGCCATCAAGTCAGTATTGACTTCTAGCAACCCACTGTGGGTTTCTGGGATGGTAGCTGTTGACAGGAATAGAACGTCTGGTCTTTCTCCTAAGGAGCTGCTGGGGGTTTTGAACTGCCGACCATGCAGATCACAGTGCAATCAGTGCATAACCACTATACCACCAGGGCTCCTAGCATACTTCACAATAGGAGTCTACTGCTCTTGCTTTAAGAGTAAGATCATTTTACAATGAAAAAAGACAGAACCCCAAAGAATTTTGCCATGTTTAAAAACTTGTGTTGGTTTTCTATAGACTCAAGCGTGTGGGTGAGCATGGGAGTGTGTTTTGACTTTTGCATGGGGGTGGTAGTGTAGCGATGGAAATGGGGAAGGTAAGATCTCTTGTTGGCTTGTGTGGCAAAGGGAAGTGCAATTTGAAAGGTGATCATGAGGTGCCCGCAGTGGTAAACATCGGAAATTATTTTGATTTCTGCGTTTCCATAGACTTCGGTCCTTAAATCAGGGCTACAATGTTGTTCTTTAATCCCCCTGCCTCCATTATTTTCCCCCATCATTCCTTTAAACGGAAAATGTTAGGTTATTGAAATTGAATCCTATATCATAAGGCACCGATTATGCTCCAAAGTCCAAAAAGAGACCAGGTACTGGGCCTTTGCCACTACAATGAACCACTGACTCGCTCAGAACTTCCTTCTATCTGGAAGTCATTTCCCGTTGTTCTATGCAATTATTAGTGATCTTCCAAAAGGTGAGCCATTGGCTTCGAGCGTGCCATTAGGCCACTTGAATGCCATCAATTATTGCATTTTGAAATCTGCCGAGTGTGCGCCTATTACTCACACTGCAAAGTCGGCCTCCATTGTCTATGATTAGGCAGGAAAGAAGTTTAGAGAGAATGACTCCCTTGAGACACTCTTGGACAAATGGCAATTACAAAATCCACAAGAGTTAGTCTGAGGAAATTGGTTTCTCCATACATATCATTCAGTTAGCATTAATAAAAAAAAAATGAAGACAGGGCTGAGTGCCTTGCAGGCCCCTGGTTCCTGAACACCAACCTTGCACCCTGTGAGCCCCATACCCCACCTCTTCCTGGCTGCGCTCCTTCAATTTTCATCCACAGTCACCAGATGATCTGCACATAGCCAGCTCTGGAACTTTATGGCCATCACAAGCCACCCAACACTGTTCAATCCAGGTCGCACAGACAGGTGCCTTTTGCATCCTAGTCAATAGGAACTGGACACCGTGTCTCCTGATATCTTTGGCTGAAACCACAACCCAGGAGATTGTTTTTCGCAAAAATTGCTGATTTCATATCACAGTCTGTGTCTACAGCAGTACAGATCACAAGGTCATCTCCATTTTTACTCTTAATTTGTCTGCTAATTGAGGGGAATCTCATTCTTCCCCCAAACAGATCTCTATATTAGTATGAGCCAAGGTTCGTAGTTTCAAGAAACATGAATGAGGAAAAACCAGATTTGCCCAGCAGTGATACTCTTGGCCAGTGTCCCTCAGAGGCCTGCCCGGAAACCCTTAGTACTCACGATTTGAATGATACTGACTTTGTAGCTGCTCTGTTGGTTGGGTCGCTCCACTCTGCAAAGAAACAAAAGGCACATAACCTTACTACACATGTTTGTCAAAAATCAAAAGAGTTTTCTGGATCAATTAGTAGCTAAACATATGGCCCGTCTATCTATACTATTCATAGTAACCTGCTATGGATAACAGATGCCTTCAAGCAAAACAAAACTAAACTAAACTCAATGGCTGTGTCACGATTTGATTTTGACACTGCTGTCATTTCATGTTTTAATGCTATTTGGTCGGTAACAGGGAGAAATAAAAGAGAAGAAGACATGGTTGTTTGAACTAAGAAAGCTAAAAACAACAACAACAACAACAACAACAAGAGGAGCAACACCACTTACTTTGTAAAGTGAATCCTGGGGTCAGATGCTGAGATTCCTAGAAGCAAGAACACATACAATAGGAACATTAGTTCTGTGATCCAACGGGGAACAAAAGGCATATCTGTTATTGCTGAAGCTCGAACTTGATGAATGTTGCCAATGAGATACCGGTGTTAGCAAAGCCATCAATTAAGCTCCTGTCTGGAGCTCTACTTGACGGATAAACACTTGCTGGTCAAATCGGCTGCAACATGATTCTAACTGCCATTTTCTCAGAATTATAAGGAAGACGGGTGTCGATTTGGAAATGTGTGCAACCTGGGAACAAATGAGCTGTGTGTGAAATCCAAGTCTATCGGTTCTCATTTTGCCAGGCAATGGGGACTCTGAGCAAGCAAAGGGGCCACGGTTCCAACAAACGAGGGATCGGTGCTCATGTGCCCTCATACTGCAGTACCTCCAACTTTCTACCTTATAACTAGGACACATGTGAGAATAGATGTGCCTCATTTTTGCGCAAGAGATGCATTTAAAAAAATCATTTTATTGTGGGCTTTTAACATTCCATACATCAACTGTATCAAGCATATTTATACATCTGTTGCCATCATCATTTTCTCAATATTTACTTTCTATTTGAGCCCTGGGTATCAGCTCCTCTTTTTCCCTCCCTTCCTTCCATAAGTGATGCATTTTTAAACCTTCATTACCTGCATTGAGAGGCCAACGAAGGAAAGTGCCATGTAATTTACTAGTGGTGCACATAGTGGCGGGGATTTAGGTCCCCGGAGGGGGCAAATAGTTGGAGTTTAACTACTAAGGCAAAGGTTAGAGGCTTGAATGTGCCCAGTGGCACTAGAGAAGAAAGGCCTGCCAGTCCACTTCTGGAAGATCACAGCTCCTGCAAACCCTGAACTGAACTTCATGAGCTCACTCACAACTCACTGGCCGTTGGCACACTTCTGATTCCCAGTGCCCCTAAAAGCAGCATAGAGCCATCCCTGTGTATTCTCTGAGACTCTAACTCTGGAAGTTAGCAGTCCAACACATAACCACTACACCACCAGGCCTCGGAATCAACTCGACATTTTGATTGTTTCTGTTGATGGGTTTTTTTGCTTGATTTTCCCAAATCTGATCTGAAAGTTGCCCCATAAAAGATTCCTTCACTCTTTGGATGACTTGGGGGTGGGGCGGTGTTGGCACACCTGCAGGAAGAAGCACTGCAACAATGAACAGCGCAAAACACAGCGTGCCAAGAGAGCCACTTAGTGTTGACTGCAAAAGCAAGTCTGCCCAAACTGGAGACAATGAATTCAAGTAAATACAAGAATTAGTTCCATCAATCACTGCTCCACTCATTAAGCCTAATCTTACCATTCTATCGGGTGAAAATGAGCTCACAATATAATTTATCTTTAAGAGAACGAGGCAAGCACACTAACGATGTGCTTTCATGGAAAGCGGCCGCCTCGATCTATTTAGCAGGAGTCTGTGGTCCAAGAGATTTGTCTTCTGGCAAGCCAGAAGACCACCAGGAACTCAGCCGGGGGGCTAAGCCTCTGAGCTAAAGACTTGTCACAAAGCCATGCATCCGATGCTCAAATGCTTCCCTAGCCACGCTCCTAGAGAACTGACTTTTGACCAAGGATTCTCATGGGTTTGCCTATTTGGTCTCCACCCACCAGTGTCAAGAAAAGAGGAGCACTTAGCGGATGATCCCTTCAGGACCAGTGGTGTGAGTGGCGATACTGGGAGGGTAGAGGGAAAGTGGGTTAGAAAGTAGGAACCGATTACAAGGATCTACATGTGACGTCCTCTCTGGGGGACAAACAACAGAAAAGTGGGTGAAGGGAGATGTCGGACAGGGCAAGATATGACAAAATAATAAGTTCTAAATTATCAAGGGCTCATGAGGGAGGGGGGAGCAGGGAGGCAGGGGAAAAATGAGGACCTAATGCCGGGGGCTTAAGTGGAGAGGAAATGTTTTGAGAATGATGAGGGCAATGAATGTATGAATGTGCTTTACACAACTGATGTATGTATGCATTGTGATAAGAGTTGTATGAGCCCCTAATAAAACGATTGGGAAAAAAAAGAAAATAGGAGCACTTCTAGAAGCCCAGGCAATAGGCACGCTGAGACTTGGACAACCAACAGCACAGACATCAAGAGAAAATTGCACGGCCAATTCAAAACTTGAAGTGTACTGGCGTCTATGGCTGCTTCTTAATTAGGAGGAAGCATTCCCATCCATCTTGAGAGCCTCGAGGGTATGGCGACAGATAGTATAATATTACAACACTGTACAATGATTGATGCTCAGAATGATATCTAAGTTACCAAGAAAGACGAAAGCCTGTTCCGTAAGATCTTTGTAAGTAAGTAGTCTGGAAAATACGGATTCCATGTCAAAATGCTTTCTCTAACACATTTCTCCTGCAAGGAAATCCTTCGTGATCCCCACATTTCAGGGACTCAGAACTCCTCCGTTCCCAATCAATGAGATGTTAATCATTGGGATCTGCCAAAGATCTACTTGTTCTTTTGACAAAGGAATTTCATTACAAGTGTGTAGCGGAAGTTTGGGCAAGTAGACCCTTAGAAAATCAAATGGCAAGTTCCAAAGGCAATCCAACCAGGGATCTGATAAAAACAGCCCGCAAACCCACTGCCATCTTGTCCATTCAGACGCACAGCGACTCTAGAGGACAGGGTAGAACTGCCTCTGTGGTTTCGGAGACAGTTACTCCCGCTTCTCCTGCCAACCTAGTGGTTCGCAGTCTAGGGTGTCACCCATTAGGACACCAGGTCTACTTCTATATCGGACCAGAGAGGGGCAAAAAGCAGTACATTTTGTACCATTGCAGAAACCTGGCTTTTAAAACCACCTTCATCCAAATATTTTGGATTTTAAAATGTTTTGATTGCCAACCAATCCCCAGCATCAGAGCAGCTCTAATTGGTACCAATGGGGAGGTTATGGTGGTTACAGAATTCCAATGACTGGGGCTGTGTCTTCTTTGTGCCCTTTTTAGTGCTACGGAGTTTTTAATGTTAACAACAACAACAACAAAAATACAATACAGCCCCTGAAATTCAAACAAATCAAAGAAGAATATAACCAAAGTTGCTATACACATACACCAAGCCATATCAGAAGAAATGGTATGGTCATAATCAATAAATCTGTGCATAAAATATCCTTCATGCAATAATTGTCAAGGCAACTTGTACAAATTTTTTAAAGTACTTGGCTAATCTCTGCATTTCTTTCAGACCCTTTATTTATTTTTTAAAATCATTTTATTGGGGGCTTATACAGCGTGAAAGCTGATTCTATCAACACCTCATGATCTCACAGGCTGGTGTGCTTCCTCCATGTGGACTTTGTTGCTTTATAGCTAGATGGCTGCTTGTTTGTCTTCAAGCCTTTATGATCCCAGATACTGTATCTTTCTTTTTTTGGATATTAGTTGTCTTTAATACAATTTGGTGAGCATATTGAAAACAATATATTCTATACCATATTATTTACAGTAAGAATTTATATTTTAGAGAAAGTTGTAATTTAGAATTATAGTGTGCTTCTAAGATTAAGGTATAAGAAATTATTACCCTTTGAGTTTTGTTCTTTTAAAAAAAATCATTTTATTGGGGGCTAGCACACATGTACATTTGTTGCCATCATCATTCTCAAAACACTTGCCTTCCACCTGAGCCCTTAACATCGGCTGCTCATTTCCCCCCTCCTTCCCCCTTCCCCGTCCCTCCCCCTTCCCCCTCCCTCATGAACCCTTCATAATTCATAAATTATTATTATTTTGTCATCTGTTGCCCTCTCTGACTTCTCCCCCAACCCTCTTCTCTGCTGTCCATCCCTCAGGGAGGAGGCTATAGGTAGATTCTTATAATCGGTTCCCCCTTTCCCCCCTACATTCCCTCAACCCTCCAGGCACCACCACTCTCACCACTGGTCCTGAAGGAGCCATCTGTCCTGGATTCCCTGTGTTTCCCATTGCTATCTGGACCGATGTACAACCTCTGGTCTAACCAGATTTGTAAGGTAGAATTGGGATCATGATAGTGGGGGGAGGATGCATTTAAGAACTAGAGGAAAATTATATGTTTCATCGTTGCTACCCTGCACCCTGACTGGCTCATCTCCTCCCCACAACCCTTCAGTAAGGGGGTGCCAGACCCTTTATTCATATATTCAATGTCACCAGTAAATATCTGGATGGCAAATTGTTTGCTAAAGTTAGGTGAGGCTTTTAAATAGTAACCTTGACAATGAGCTTACAATTGGAGGCTCCTATAGGATCTTTGAAGGAGTCCTTGGGTGGTACAAGTGAATTCAAAACAAACGAAAATGACTCAATTGCTAACTAAAAGGTTGTCAGTCCAAAGCCATCCAGAGGAGCCTCAGCACAAAGGTCTGGTGATCTATTGCTAAAAGCCCAGTGCCGTGAAAACACTGTGGAGCCCTGTTCCACTCAAACACAGACTTGTTGGGAACTGCTCTGTTTGTTTTGGTTATTGTAGTTTGGTTGGTTTAGAAGACCTAGACTCTGCAGTGGGTCATGAAAACTAAAAGACTATTTTATGACATTGCATTGTGAAAAATCTATGAAATGATATAAAATTCAAAGTCTCTCCCAGTCGTTATCTTTGAGTGCACAGCTGCTTTCCTACTATGACATTTTAAAATGCAGCAACAATCCAATCACTCTTTGCTACCCTCTGTTCTAGACCATAAAGAGCCCTGGTGCCCTAGTGGATTACCTATTGGGCTACTCACCACAAGGACAGCAGATCAAACCCACCAGCTACTGCCCAAGAGCTAGATGCAAAGATCGACAGGCTTAGAAAGCCATCAGAGCAGGGTTACTCGGTCCTAGAGACTTCCCACAAGTGGGCATCTGCTCGATGGCAGTTAGTTTGGTTCTTTAGTTCTAGCGAATGGTCACCTCTTGGGAACTTTTCCTGGCCTTGCGGGGAGAGGGAGGCATCATTATCTCCCCAGATCCTGCATAGTATGGCCTCTTTCCTTGG